GCTCGGATCCCTTGCCAGGCGGTGTTCTGCTTGCCGTCTCTGAAAAGCATGGCACGCCTGTCAAGTCCGTACCTTGCAGTAGCAGCCTGTAGCAGCAGCCTCCACCTGCCACACCTGCCCTGGCAGTAACGGCTAGGGCAGTGGCGGTTATGCCTGATGTGACCAAGCTCCAGTATAAAAGGACCCCAACCCTCACGAAGCAAAGGTATTGAAGCTAGCACTTTCAGCACTCTTAACTCTTTGTCTTCTTTGAGTTTTCCCCAGAGTTCTAACTTAGCCAACAGAGTGTTCCCTCCGGGAGAGCTCCCCGGGAACCCTTCACCTTCTTCTTCCTCTTAGGTGCCGTCCATCACAGCTAGGAGGCAACTCTCACCCAGCTAGGAGTGCCCAAATTGTGATGCATCATTTGGTGCCGTCTGTGGGAAACGCTTCATAAGGCTTTCCTCTAACTTCTATAAAACTTCCCTCAAAGAACTCATCATCACCATGGCTTCCTCTAGCAACTCTGGACGCCGGAACACCCCAGAGGAACAACTCCAGCTACCCATTGTCTGCATAGGGAAGTTCACCGTTCCCCTCTCCGTGGACGGGGTACCTAGTCTGAATGTGCCCCTGACGGTGGCACCCGTGACTGTTCCATTACCCTCTGCCATTGGAACAACCAACGCTGAACCCACCATCCTCCCTCCGGTGGCCAGCCAAAGTCAGTTCGAAGACCTGATGCAGTGCATGTGAGCCATGCAGGCCCAAATGCAACAGTTCCAGCATCTTCAGTTCCACCAGCAGCAAGTGCTGCACCAAGTGTCCCAGTATCAGTATCAGCAACAATTTCCTTCACTCCCTCCCCGACATCCGGTTGCGCAGCCAACCAAGCCTCACCGCCGCAGTGAACTCCCTTCCCGCCAAGGAGAGATCTCGGCATCGTCTCATGGAAGGAAGGAAAGACTCCCTACCCCCGCCTCGCGACCTGCAGTCAGGTCAGGGGCTTCCCAACCGATTAGGCCAGTGTCACCTCAGCGTTCACAGTTCGAACCTCTACTTGCGGAGAACCGGTTCGAAGTGCTAGCCGATGACCTGGAACAAGGTCCCTCTATTCACAGCTACCGACAGCCGTCCCTGCCTCCCCCTGGGCCCTTCGAGCTCAGTAACACCGAGGCCAGCAGCACCAATGCCGAGCCAACCAAGAAGCAACGGAGACGCCGCCGAGCTCGCCAAACTGCCACCACCCACAGTCTGCCCGAGCTCAGAGGCAAAGTAGAAATAAGTTTAGGAGAGGTAAAAGCTACACCACTTCTTTCAGTCCCTTCCCCTTGTCCCCAGAGCTCCTCGTTGTCCCCATGCCAAGGGACTTCAAGCTCCCCCCGCTGGACAAGTATGATGGGTTCTTTGACCCCGACGACCATGTTGATGCCTTCCAGCCCCAGATGCATCTGGCCAGGGCGAGTGAGTCTTGCATGTGCATGAACTTCTCCATTACTTTCAAGGGAGTAGCCCGCACCTGGTACCGAAACCTCGCACCGGGTTCAATAAGGAGTTGGGTGCATTTTGTGCAGGTCTTCACCTCCCACTTCGTCACTAGTAAGAGGTGCCCAAGGACCCAAGAAAGCCTCATCAGCATAGTCTAGAGGGAAGAAGAGTCCATTCGGAACTACATCAAGCGGTTTAATGACGCTTGCCTGCAGATACCTGACCTAGACCCTACAGTTCGGCTTACTGCGGCCAAGCGGAGCATTACCCACAAGGAGTTCAGATGGCACATGGTGGTCAACCAACCCAAGACCGTGACTGAGTTCCTCGAACTGGCAGATCGGTTCATAGGGACAAAGGAGGAGATCAACCAGAAGGGCGAGCAGGCGCTTGAAAAAAGAAAAAGGGAACCGGAGCCCCAGGCTCCAAGTGACAGCAAGAAGAAGGGCCTAGCTCGGGGGGCAAAGCCAATTCAGCCTTTCCGAGCTCCGACAGCAGAAAGGGATTATACGCCCCTCAACACAAAGCGGGCCGAGATCCTCATGACGATCAAGGACGCCCCATATGTGAAGTGGCCACCTCGGCTTAAGGCCGATCCCAATGTTAGGAATAAAAACTTGTATTGTAGTTTCCATAGAGACCACAGTCATAGTACCGAAAACTATAAGAACCTCCTCGACGAGATAGAATAACTTATCCGTCATAGACATCTGAGAAATTTTGTACAGCATAATAATAACAATAATAAAGCAAGTCGGCACGGGGAGCAAAGTAAAGAAGCTTCCGAGTCCAGCAGACAAGCAGAACAGCCGCAGAGGTAGCCTCCCCATGAGAGACCAGTTCGGGGGACCATCCATGTGATTGTCGGGGATCAATTGTCGTGGGTTGCACTTTGGCAGCAGCTCGGTCATCAGCTCGCGAGGCAGCCAGGGAAGAGCTTAACCCCCCAAAGCGGCAAAGGATGGAGGAACCGATCTTCTTCACTGAAGACGATGCGCGAAGGGTCCATTACCCCCATGATGACGTGCTCGTCATAAAGATTAATATCAACGACTTCGAGGTCAAGCGCGTCCTAGTCGACTTGGGCAACTCGGCGGATATTCTCTTCAAGGCAGCCTTCGATCAGCTATAGCTCTAAGAAAGCGACCTGAAGTCTGTAAACACTCCACTCGTGGGATTCAACGTTTAGGAGGTCAGGCCTTTAGGGAG